TTTGTTATCCTTAGGGGTTGTATATAAACGTTTCTCTTATTATCGAAATTTATTTTTTTCTCAATAACAAGCTTTCACTATTTTCTTTTACCAATAACTAAAAAATGGCTTTCGAAAATTTAAGTACTGAAACGAGAAATTAGGATTGTCAAAATGATGTAATTTCCAAAAGTAAAGAAAGCTATTTTTATTTCTCTAAACTCGTTCTTTAAACTAACTAAATGATTTTTTTGTCCGTCAGTAAAGTTCTTGTTAATGCGCCCAATCTATGTTGTAAATGCGTCGGAATTCCACTCCTATAATAAGATATTATAAAGTAATAAGAAATAATATTATAAAGTTTTAATATAAATTATTTGAATAAAATCAGTCTGTGAGCAATTCAATATTTTATTAAAATTCCTTTTTTTTCAACTTTCAAAGCAAAAATATATAGTAGGACTACGTATAACACACCCCAGACAGACTTGCTGCAAGTCTGTAACACGGGGCGCTTACGAAATTGCTTTGGTGGGATCATAAGCGGACGTAATCGAAATTCGGCTTAGCCTAATCCCGTCTAGGTTAGAGGTGGGTAACCTCACTGCTTCACCATTAATGAGCAAATAAGACTCTGTTGAACAGGGATCCAGTACCGCACTTATTGGGAAAGATGGTCCGACACAGTTAAGTTGAACGATCAAACTTGGAGATGAGGTCGAAACCATTTGAAGTGTGTATTCCCGATGTTTAGCCACTATATCAAGACACAATTCTAACGTAATTTCCAAAAACTCCATGCACGCGCCAACTATATTTAAATTTATATAAGTAAGTTCGGCCGGACCGAACTTTGAATACCCTCCACAATGTGGAACGAATCTTTAAATTTTCAAAAAATAAAATCCGTTCAAAATTTTGTTAAGATCTTAAAAATACCGAATATAGCCGTCATATTTTCTCCGATGAGAAAACTTTCGTTGTCCAGCAGTTTGTAAAAAAATGATTGTGTTTACTTGCCAAAGAGGTCAGCTGAAAATGTGCACCTTCAGTTGGCCACAAGAACTCAAGCGCCAGCCATGGTGACGGTGTGGGCCGCCATAACAGTCAATGCTCGCTCTCCGCTTTTATTAGGTCCACGTTAAAATCAGAGCTATATGTATATAGCTCTTGAGTTCTAAGTATAGTAACTAACACAACTTTCTTATATATATATATATATATATATATATATATATATATATATATATATATATATATATATATATATATATATATATATATATATATATAAGAAAGTTGTGTTAGTTACTATACTTAGAACTCAAGAGCCTCTGATCTGATTTTAACGATTCAAACTAATTCGGAATTGTCTCTTGGCGAAAAAGGAATCCAAAAAAGCACGTCAAATAGGAACTATGGACATTTTCATTTTGACTTTTAAACTTACAATAGTAATGTTTTATTTTCCATGATTTTTTTTTCAATTTGGCTTACTATTTTCTAATGTACATTTGTAGTGCTTTTTTTATACCCTCCACCATAGTATGGAGGGTATATTTAGGCTGTCATTCCGTTTTTAACACCTCGAAATACACATCCCCACAAAGTATATATATTCTTGATCAGCATAAAATTCTATGTCGATTTAGCCGTGTCCGTCCGTCTGCGGAAATCACTCTAGCTTTCGAACGAATTGAAGTAGATTGAATGCAGGCTTTTGGTATTGAAAATGGGCCTTGTAGGTCCACGTTCTGGTATAGCCCCTATATAACGGTACAGCCCGATATTCGGTATTTTGATGATTTTATCGACATTATTCACCGGTGTTATTTCAAATTTGGTATTTGAAGTTCGTAATAGATACTTCAGCCTTTGACAGAAAACTGTCTGTGCAGGTCCATGTCTTCGTATAGCCCCAATATAACGGTACCTCCCGATATTCAGTATTTTGATGATTTTAGCGACATCATTCACCGATTTTTTTTTTTTGTTAAGTTTCGCATTTGAATATTGTAGTGGCTTACGACAAAAGTTACCTATGCAGGTCCAAGTCGTCGTATAGACCCTAATGTAACAGCTACATTCGGTATTTTTAAGATTTTAACAATTTTTTAAAGCATTTTATTGTTTTGGAGAAATGCCAAATTCGTTCCAACTTACAGCCTTTTTACTTGTTAATTCTAATATGATGTGTAGTCCTTCTGGGGGTTTATTTTATGTATTTATAGGGTAAGTCGAACCATACGAATAATATCATTTCAAAAGATGATTAAATATGAACAAAAAAAAAATCAATATTTTACCATTTACGAACAGTTTTTTTTCAATTTGATTAACTGCATTTAATTGACTCGATTTCTTAAAAACTGAAATTTCAGGCGGGTTACGTTGAAGTATCGAATTATGTGGTGGCGAAACTAAATAGATGATAGATGAAACTAAATAGATGATGAAAGTTAAAAGATAATAGGCATTTGTTTAAGTATATTTACCACATTAGTGTACCCCTAAATCTACTTTCACGACCAAATTTGTGCTCAGAAAAGAACATTTTGTATTCTATTGAATTTGTAACCCCATGATAATATTGGTTGGGAATGTAGGTTTGTAGGAATGTAGACGTACATCCACTACATGAAATAAACTCTGAAATATCAAACTGGGACTCATTCAGTCGAAAATTGTGGCAGAAACATGAAAAAATTACGAATATACGAATCGTCATTGAATCATACTCATTCTGCTTTTAATTATGAGGTGGACAAAACTAAATACAACGCAGCATAGTATTCTTAACGTTGGAAATACAAATTCTAAATTACGGCTCATTTGATCATGGGGCTATTAAAGATGTTCTATATCATATAGGTTTTTAACACTCAAATTAAAAACCATGGCTGAAAAATTAGCCTGATCTATTCAAAATATCTAACCGACGGTAGGTGAACATGAAAACGGCTGGACCGATTTGCATAAATTTTTGTACAAACGTTCATCATACCCCGAGTTAGGTTTTTAAAGAAAAAATATTGACCACGCCTACTTTTAGGCCCACTATCTTGATTTATCTAAAATCTTTATATTTGCCAGATAATGAAGATGTTGGTTTGAAAATTATTACACGAGATACTGCTGACTTTCCCTCCAACCTTAGGGATTTATTTTGGGGCTAGGGAACTGACCACGCATACTTCTAATCTATCTATATATAAGAAAGTTGCGTAGTAAGCTTATAACTCAAGAACCGCTGATGTGATTTTAACGATTCACACAAATTCGGAATTGTCTTTTGCGTAAAAATGTGAAATTTTAAAATTTTCATTTTGACTTTTAAAGAGTACAATAGTAATGTTTTATTTTGCATGATTTTTTTTCCATTTTGACTTACTATTTCGGAATGTACATTGTTTGTTTTATTTTGCATGATTTTTTTTCCATTTTGACTTACTATTTCGGAATGTACATTTGTAGTGTTTTTTTTTTTTTTTTTTTTGAATTCTAATATGATGTGTTGTCTTTTTGGGTAGTAGACCTGAATAGATGATGTCAAAATAATTTGACGTGGTCAAAAAAAAAAAAAAAAAAAATTGCGTAAAATGTGCCAATAAAAATATAAAAGAAAAAATCATTTTGGCGTGAAATTTTTTCAATTTAAAAACTATATAGAAGTGTACATTTTTTATTGTTTTGAATTCTGAATGAATAATATTAAAAATGAAATAGAACGCAATACGATGTTAAATGGCGATCTTTCATGTCTGAAATTGGTATTTAGCTTTCAACTCCAGGATCTACATCGTGCTTCAGCTGGAAGATGCGAACACATTTAAACAAACAAAAAATAACCGACAAAACGTTTTTGGGCTCATTTCAAAACGTGGACCTACCTACATCTTTCGCATGACAATAATCCGTCCAATGAGAACTCAATATGCAAAATTCATTGGGACTGCAATCAGTGAAATACCGAATATAAAGGGCGCAAAAAATAAGAGGGAAAAGGATTTCTATTCTTTCAGAAATTCTTCCTATACTTTAATGATACCTTAAATCACTTTTGCAGTTCATGATATGAGTCATAACCCCCCGATAAGGATACAACCCGATTTCATACTAATTTCGGCAAATGTTGGTAATTTGGGAAGAAACCATCCATGCAAAAACTGATCACGTTTTCATAACCATCATATGATTTAAAGAACCGGACATTTGTTTAATCGTCTTTGAATTATACTATGATAAAATATATGGAAATTATGGGGTGTGCAACGCGCAATTTCAATGACAAATAATTCATATTACTTTAAAAACAAGTAAAAAAATAGTTCGGCCGGGCGGAATTATTATTATCATCCACCTTAGGGTAAAGGAAACATTTTTATATAAAAGTATCTGAATTCAAGCGTGTTTCACTTTAAACTTCATATACCAGTAAGACTGTTTGGATAATGCAGTTAACTTATCAAAAAAACGAAGTGAATGAGGCCGTTATATGGGGCCATACCAAAGCGGGAACCTCTGTGGACAATTTTGTACTTCAAGAATTGTCATCTATCAAACCTTCTAAAATACCAAATTTGAAACAATTATACGCGTAAATGTGTGGATTATCAACATACCCAATATAGGTAGGTATTGGTATATGTGTTCGACAAATCCGAGAAGAAATGTAGCAAAAATCATTAAAATACCGAATTTTAGAGAGATGCCGTTATATGGGGACTATACCAAAACGTGGACCGATAGATCATTTTTAATACCACAGACATACAGACGGACAAATCGACTTAGAATTTTATGCTGATTATGAATATGTATGTATATTTTATGAGGTCTATGACGAACATTTAGGGATGTTGCAAATGGAAGGAAAAGTTAATATACCCTCCTTTCCAAGGTGGATGATATAATAAGCATTAAGACTAAAATTACGGGCCAAATTTAGAAGTTTTGCAAACATCATGCAAACATTTTTCATTTTTCATTTCAGAGACTCACTAAAAAATCATACCAAATTCATTTATTTTATTGATAACTTGGATTTTAAGGAAAATATATTAAAGGCATGTTTCAACATCAATTTATATATTATATTCCATTTTATGCTACAATTCAGCATTTTCTATGTTGTGTGCTTCTGGTATTGGATTCACACTGATGGTTGGTTTTCGGTTTTAAAATAAATTCAAAATATCTTGAGAGAAACAGAACTGACTGCTTTTTACGGTTAAGCAATCACTACTGATTATAAAAGCTCAGAAGGTTTCCCAAAAGTTTGCGGATAGGATTGTTGCCTTATTAACAACAAACTACAACTTAGCACCAGCGTTCGAAAATAAACATTATGGTACAGTACCATAGTGTTCTGTACCGTACCAAGGTGGAGTGGTACACTACGATAGTGTACCGTACCGGAACACAACCCTTAAAAATATTTTAGTGATACTATACCGGAGCACAACGATAATCGTACTGTACCGCAGTCGGAGCACTAAAAATCGTAGTGTTCCGCAGTCGGAGCACTACAAAATCGTAGTGTTCCGCAGTCGGAGTACTACAAAATCGTAGTGTACCACATGGCGGAACATTAAAAAAATAATGTACCGCTAGTGTACCACATGTTTGTTGTTTACGATTTGGGGAAAAATTGAATGTTTGATGTTTTTGATAATGTAAATATAAATAATACAATTCAATATTATGAAAATAATTGCTGGATTTATTTTCTTTTTATACTTGAAGGAAGTTTAGAAATATGAGATTAGGTAGAAGGGATAAAAAGGAAAATTAAATTGAAAAATTAAATTCTCCGTGAAAAAGGGTATTTTAGTGGTTGCCACAAGTCTGTATGGATACGCCTGAAATTCGGCCTATTGCGTTATATTAACCACTAAAAAATTCTACGAATGAATGCAAGAATATGGGTATTAAAAGTTAGTGCCATAAAATTGTATATTTTGGTAAAAGGTCAAGTTTGTTTTATTATCTAGGTGGGCCGCTAAATGAAAACAATGAATGTATGTTTTTGCAAAAAATTAAATATTTGTATGTATTTGCTAGTATGGCTGAGGGTTTAAAATCAGTTTTATGATTTAGTCTTAAATAAAACCAAACATTGTACAGGTACCACATCAAAATATGTGCCGATATCCAGAATATAGTTTGCCACAATTTCGCATCGGAGTACAGGTAGTCTTATTATTATTAAGAACAATATTTGTTACAATATATACAAAAAAGCCGATATCCTGCTGTTTAGTTCTTCTCAAACGTTCAGCACATAATAGCAAAAATGCCGCGACCTAAAAATATTATTCTTTTAGATATGTTCAATACAAATGAGTCAAACGAAGTTGTGTGTAACTTGCAAAGTTGTAAGAACAAGATTTTAAGTGTACATTCCGGAAATATAGAAAGACACTTAAAGAGATCACATCCTGAGCAATATGCAAACTATATTGAACAAAAACGGGCAATGAAATTACAAAATTGTGTTAACGAAGTATTACTGGGAAGAAATGTAAATCCGAGGAACATCGAACTAGCAATAGTGGAACTATTCACCAAAAATGGACGTCCTCTGCACATGGCCGAAGATAGGGCCTTCAAAATTTTTATGGAGCCAGTTTTAAGTTTGCTCGGAATAACAGTCAATGAGCATAAAATAATGAAACGAATTATCGCATTTTCCACAAATATTAAAACAGAAATATCTAATGATTTAAAAGGGACATTGTTTTCTCTTAAGATTGATGTAGCAAACAGGTGGGATTTGAGCATGCTCGGTATAAATGTTCAATACATCAAAAATGGTAAAATCATTGTTAAAACATTGGCAATAAAAGAGCTGAAATCAAGTCATACCGGTGAAAATATAAAATCTATTATATTGGAAGTTCTAAAAGAATATGGTGTTGATGTACGCAACATTTTTACCATTACAACCGACAATGGATCTAACATGTTAAAAACGGTAAAAGTGCTGAGTTCGGAGTTTCAAATGCTTATGGAAGAGGAATCTCAGGATAGCGAAGAAGAAGTTGATTGTGAAATATCGATTTATGAAATTGAGTCCATCGATTTTAATATATCCTCACACCATATTACTAACAATTGTTGTGGTGCCCATACGCTGCAGCTGTGTGTAAATGATGTTCTAAAACAGCCTACAATAAAAGAAAAAACTGAAAACCTAAGACTCGTAGTGAAAAAACTTCGAAGTAAAACGTATATGAGTATTTTTAAAAATGGGCTCCACAAGAAACCTATAATTGACTGTATAACAAGATGGAATTCAACATACAATATGATTGAAAGACTGTTGGAAATAAGAGAAGTTGTAACTACATTAAGCAAGGATAATTCGAAATTATTCATTAGTTCTGCTGACTGGTCTTTCGCAAGTGAATTTGTTGGAATATTTAAACCTATTTACACAGCTACAATGAAACTACAAACTGAACAGCTGTGTTATAGCGAACTATATATTGTAATAATGGATATTACATTCCAAATAGATGCTTTACCAAATACCGAAATGAAAGTGATACTGAAAGAATCATTGAAGACGAGAATGGATAAACTTTTTGATAACGAACTTTTCAACGCATCCATGTATTTGGATCCACGTATGAAAGTCTGTATGGCAATCGAACAGAAAACAAGAGCGCAGATGTACATAGTGTCGTTATATAAGCAAATATACTCAAAAGAAGGTACGTTTGCTATATTAATACCAAAAATACATACATATGTTTTTAACTATTACCCTTATTTCTACAGATTCTACAACAGACAATAAGGCCTGCACAATACTGGATGAAACTCCATCAACAGTACTACATGCACAGAGTTCTTCAAACATTGATAATTTTGAATCCGATCTATCCACTTATGAAAGAAAATCTAGATTGCCATTAAATGCAAATGTTTTAGAATATTGGGATTCTTTAAACATTATTAGTGGCATTGCGAATATTTTACTGGAAATACCATCAACACAAGTAAGCGTGGAACGCTTATTTTCAGCTATGAAATATATGTTATCCGATCAGCGCAATTGATTGTCCTGTTAAATTTAGAGCATATATTAATGGTAAAAGTCAATGGGATTTTTAATTACCAGTTGGGATCAGATTAAAGTTCTTACTGGTGTACTTATATTTTTAGTTTATTACATTTTCTTTTTTTACTTTCTATTTATATTATGTTTATTATATTTAACTTGTTTAATTAATTCAATTTTTATTAAAAAAATACATTTATGTAATAACAATTAAATACTTATAAATAAATCAGTATTAAGTATGTCTCATTGACATATGACAGTACGTTGTTTTATTTATTCTTTAATTTCCACTTATCCAAAGAGTGATACTAATATCGAATTTTGTGTAATTTTGCAAAGTTGGATAATCTTTAATTTCTTTTATTATAATAATTTTATTCATTTGCAATGCTACATACTAAAAAATCAAACTTTTAATATTATTTTCCCAAATCATAAAAAAGCATATTGATGCCAATACATTTTTTAATCGCAATCGGTGCACTAAAAAATCGTAGTGTACCATGATCCGGAACACTACTATTTTTTAGTGCTCCGACTGCGGTACACTACTATTTTTTAGTGCTCCGACCAGTGTTGCCGTTTTTGGCGTTTCCGTCCAAATTTGGGCGGAAAAAAGATAAATTTTGTGGTTTGGGCGGAATTTTTCCATATTGGGTACAAATTTCTTTTTCACTGTTTATTTATACGTAATTTAATTTTTTTTATTACTAACTGAATTTTTTATTTTTTTTTTTTATTGAGATTAATCGTTATTTATTTTATAGATTTTTGTTAAGTTTTTTAATAATATATATAATGCATTAGGCTATATTCGTGCGGGGCCGACCATGTGATACCCTACAATACTACAATATGTTAGAAGCCCCCTCATATCCAAATCCATTTTGGAAGATTTCGCTTTTGAAATTATGTCACGGAGCACTGCCCAGATATTACCCTTAGCATTTTGTCCAGGGACATTTTCCTAATATTTATGCACTCCGTCGTGCTGTTAGTTTTTGTGGTCCATTTTACGGCTAAATATATTCCAATGGTCATCCAAAATGCCAGAATTCTACCCTGTGCTTACCTATCTTCTCAGGCGTGTCGATGGCTTCAATTGTGTGATCAGGAAATTTTTTTCTGTTTTTGGTTCATTTAAACCCCTAAATATATTGCGATCATCTCCAAAAGCAAGAGGCCCCTCTGAGTCTCCAAATTTAGACTCATCTATATGATTTGCTTGTCAATTCGTCAACGAAATCAGCATAAAAGCCAGAAGTTCGCCTATTGTGTATTGCCTGTAAGTAATGTTGGTATTTTTTTACACAAAAGTAGTGATCCATTCTACCCGCTGTCCTAAGCTCTAACTTCATGCAAGATTTCGTGTCCTTAGGTTTATATTTGGTACCTTTATAACGGCTGCAAAATCAGGAACATTTTTAATTGCTGGTCAATTTCAACCCCTAAATATATTACGGACATCTTTGAACACAATAGGCTAAGCCCTTCTGAGCCTAACCCTACCTTTGTGAAAAATTTCGTGAGGATCGAACGATAATTGCAATCTGTATATAAATAATAACCCTAACCTGTGTTGTAAAGTGAAAAAATATTACAAAACAAATACTTCAATATTATAAGTCAATTTGAAAAAATCGCATGCGATAAAAAATATGAAAAAAATAAAAAAATGTCACAAAATACTACAAAATCTATATGAACATCATTATTGGTATCTTTTTATGCGATTTTTTAGTATTTATACTTTAATGCCACAAGGGCATTCTAAATTGACAAAATTTGTCAAAATCGCTCCAGCCATTCTGAAGATATAAGCATTCTAGCTGACATCCCCTTCCTTTGTATATATACATTGTATATATTTCTCTATATATATATCCGATATTTTTACTATCGGCATCTACGTAACGGTCAGAATTGACCTGTTTGTCTATTTGTGATTTCGCCGGCAGTAAAAATATTCGCGGATTAATGGAAAATTTGACTTTTATTTATCGCAAATGCTATGGTCTACTAAACCACTAAATATTACCCGATGACCATCAAAATTGGAAGGCTTCTGCCCAGTCCAAAATCTAGCCCCATGCTAAATTTCGCTTCGATTGGTCTATAATTGTGACCTGTAGAGCAACTGCAAAATCAGGGAATTTTTCAGTTTTTGGTCCATTTCAACCCCTAAATATTATGCGATCATCTCCAAAAGACCTTAACCCCAGCTACATTCTAAATTTCGTGAAGATCGGGCCATAATTGCGACCTTTAGAGTGATTACAAATTAACATGGACAGACGGACGGATGGACATACATAGCTAGATCGACTCAGCTCGGCTAGATAGGAAGATCCATATATACTTTCCTATGTGGGAAACCAATATTTCGTGGTGTTACATAATTTTTGGCCCAATCAAAGTTATAATACCCCCAACACATAGTCTTGTAGGGTATAAAAACCTGAATAATAATAATGACTTTAAAGTATTTAATACATTGAATTCTTGTATTATGTTACTTTTCAAATATATAATATATATATATATATATATATATATATATATATATATATATATATTATATATTTGAAAAGTAACATAATACAAGAATTCAATGTATTAAATACATTAAAGTCATTATTATTATTCAGGTTTTTATACCCTACAAGACTATGTGTTGGGGGTATTATAACTTTGATTGGGCCAAAAATTATGTAACACCACGAAATATTGGTTTCCCACATAGGAAAGTATATATGGATCTTCCTATCTAGCCGAGCTGAGTCGATCTAGCTATGTATGTCCATCCGTCCGTCTGTCCATGTTAATTTGTAATCACTCTAAAGGTCGCAATTATGGCCCGATCTTCACGAAATTTAGAATGTAGCTGGGGTTAAGGTCTTTTGGAGATGATCGCATAATATTTAGGGGTTGAAATGGACCAAAAACTGAAAAATTCCCTGATTTTGCAGTTGCTCTACAGGTCACAATTATAGACCAATCGAAGCGAAATTTAGCATGGGGCTAGATTTTGGACTGGGCAGAAGCCTTCCAATTTTGATGGTCATCGGGTAATATTTAGTGGTTTAGTAGACCATAGCATTTGCGATAAATAAAAGTCAAATTTTCCATTAATCCGCGAATATTTTTACTGCCGGCGAAATCACAAATAGACAAACAGGTCAATTCTGACCGTTACGTAGATGCCGATAGTAAAAATATCGGATATATATATAGAGAAATATATACAATGTATATATACAAAGGAAGGGGATGTCAGCTAGAATGCTTATATCTTCAGAATGGCTGGAGCGATTTTGACAAATTTTGTCAATTTAGAATGCCCTTGTGGCATTAAAGTATAAATACTAAAAAATCGCATAAAAAGATACCAATAATGATGTTCATATAGATTTTGTAGTATTTTGTGACATTTTTTTATTTTTTTCATATTTTTTATCGCATGCGATTTTTTCAAATTGACTTATAATATTGAAGTATTTGTTTTGTAATATTTTTTCACTTTACAACACAGGTTAGGGTTATTATTTATATACAGATTGCAATTATCGTTCGATCCTCACGAAATTTTTCACAAAGGTAGGGTTAGGCTCAGAAGGGCTTAGCCTATTGTGTTCAAAGATGTCCGTAATATATTTAGGGGTTGAAATTGACCAGCAATTAAAAATGTTCCTGATTTTGCAGCCGTTATAAAGGTACCAAATATAAACCTAAGGACACGAAATCTTGCATGAAGTTAGAGCTTAGGACAGCGGGTAGAATGGATCACTACTTTTGTGTAAAAAAATACCAACATTACTTACAGGCAATACACAATAGGCGAACTTCTGGCTTTTATGCTGATTTCGTTGACGAATTGACAAGCAAATCATATAGATGAGTCTAAATTTGGAGACTCAGAGGGGCCTCTTGCTTTTGGAGATGATCGCAATATATTTAGGGGTTTAAATGAACCAAAAACAGAAAAAAATTTCCTGATCACACAATTGAAGCCATCGACACGCCTGAGAAGATAGGTAAGCACAGGGTAGAATTCTGGCATTTTGGATGACCATTGGAATATATTTAGCCGTAAAATGGACCACAAAAACTAACAGCACGACGGAGTGCATAAATATTAGGAAAATGTCCCTGGACAAAATGCTAAGGGTAATATCTGGGCAGTGCTCCGTGACATAATTTCAAAAGCGAAATCTTCCAAAATGGATTTGGATATGAGGGGGCTTCTAACATATTGTAGTATTGTAGGGTATCACATGGTCGGCCCCGCACGAATATAGCCTAATGCATTATATATATTATTAAAAAACTTAACAAAAATCTATAAAATAAATAACGATTAATCTCAATAAAAAAAAAAAATAAAAAATTCAGTTAGTAATAAAAAAAATTAAATTACGTATAAATAAACAGTGAAAAAGAAATTTGTACCCAATATGGAAAAATTCCGCCCAAACCACAAAATTTATCTTTTTTCCGCCCAAATTTGGACGGAAACGCCCAAAACGGCAACACTGGTCGGAGCACTAAAAAATAGTAGTGTACCGCAGTCGGAGCACTAAAAAATAGTAGTGTTCCGGAGTCGGAGCAATAAAAAATGTAGTGTTCCGCAATCGGTGCACTAAAAAATCATGGTACACTACGATTTTTTAGTGCACCGATTGCGATTAAAAAATGTATTGGCATCAATATGCTTTTTTATGATTTGGGAAAATAATATTAAAAGTTTGATTTTTTAGTATGTAGCATTGCAAATGAATAAAATTATTATAATAAAAGAAATTAAAGATTATCCAACTTTGCAAAATTACACAAAATTCGATATTAGTATCACTCTTTGGATAAGTGGAAATTAAAGAATAAATAAAACAACGTACTGTCATATGTCAATGAGACATACTTAATACTGATTTATTTATAAGTATTTAATTGTTATTACATAAATGTATTTTTTTAATAAAAATTGAATTAATTAAACAAGTTAAATATAATAAACATAATATAAATAGAAAGTAAAAAAAGAAAATGTAATAAACTAAAAATATAAGTACACCAGTAAGAACTTTAATCTGATCCCAACTGGTAATTAAAAATCCCATTGACTTTTACCATTAATATATGCTCTAAATTTAACAGGACAATCAATTGCGCTGATCGGATAACATATATTTCATAGCTGAAAATAAGCGTTCCACGCTTACTTGTGTTGATGGTATTTCCAGTAAAATATTCGCAATGCCACTAATAATGTTTGAAGAATCCCAATATTCTAAAACATTTGCATTTAATGGCAATCTAGATTTTCTTTCATAAGTGGATAGATCGGATTCAAAATTATCAATGTTTGAAGAACTCTGTGCATGTAGTACTGTTGATGGAGTTTCATCCAGTATTGTGCAGGCCTTATTGTCTGTTGTAGAATCTGTAGAAATAAGGGTAATAGTTAAAAACATATGTATGTATTTTTGGTATTAATATAGCAAACGTACCTTCTTTTGAGTATATTTGCTTATATAACGACACTATGTACATCTGCGCTCTTGTTTTCTGTTCGATTGCCATACAGACTTTCATACGTGGATCCAAATACATGGATGCGTTGAAAAGTTCGTTATCAAAAAGTTTATCCATTCTCGTCTTCAATGATTCTTTCAGTATCACTTTCATTTCGGTATTTGGTAAAGCATCTATTTGGAATGTAATATCCATTATTACAATATATAGTTCGCTATAACACAGCTGTTCAGTTTGTAGTTTCATTGTAGCTGTGTAAATAGGTTTAAATATTCCAACAAATTCACTTGCGAAAGACCAGTCAGCAGAACTAATGAATAATTTCGAATTATCCTTGCTTAATGTAGTTACAACTTCTCTTATTTCCAACAGTCTTTCAATCATATTGTATGTTGAATTCCATCTTGTTATACAGTCAATTATAGGTTTCTTGTGGAGCCCATTTTTAAAAATACTCATATACGTTTTACTTCGAAGTTTTTTCATTTTTGGCCCAATCAAAGTTATAATACCCCCAACACATAGTCTTGTAGGGTATAAAAACCTGAATAATAATAATGACTTTAATGTATTTAATACATTGAATTCTTGTATTATGTTACTTTTCAAATATATAATATATATATATATATATATATATATATATATATATATATATATATAAACTTGAAGTAAAATAACATAAAATTTTTATTTTTTTATTTTTTAGTGGTACTGTACCGGTACATTACACTATGTTAGTGTACTGTTTATTTTCGAACGCTGCTTAGCACTAACTCGTTTGAATAATAATTGATGACAAAAATTGTTGCACCACTTATCGTATTGATATGTCAATGACAGATTTCATGTTTTATTTTCTGTTTTATTTCAATTTATTTTTCTCCCCTTTTTATCGGAGCGCAATTTCAGCGCACTAACGCACCACCTCGGATTAACACATATGATAAACGTACTACTCTCTCACCACTATGAAACCCTAAAACTCGCTTATAATGAAGCTTGCTAGCTTGTTTCCACATTCTAGCCCTACTTATTACACGTCCATCGTGGTCGGTTGAACAACTGCCTAATTATAGTATAACATTACAAAACAAGCATTTTAATCAACGATTGTAGACAATTGACGTGTCCCACGGCTTTATTTTAGTCTAGTATATGCATATGTTTATAATTCCCACGACTGTATCTACTTTATTATTTTTTGGTATTTTGCAATGTACGTTTAACATAAAACCGTTTAAAAGTTGATTACCCTTTTTTATTTCAAACCCTACACACATAGTGATAAGGCCCATAGTTACTTTTGAGGATATTCATAGAATCACTTTCTGAGTCAATTTTGATCTGATTGAAATGAAATTCTACAAACAATATTTGTTTGGCCCAAAGACGAACCCCATTGAAATTGGTGATAATCGAATCAGATTTAGATATAGCTCCCACATATCTTCAACCGATTTCCAGTTAATTGTGCACCAAATGGCTAATATAAGCCCAAATGGCCTGTATTTCGGTACATTCCACCGAATTCAGTCCAGAGGGAAATAAATAAAATTTGGAGAAAATCGGTTCAGATATAGCTATAGCTTCCGTATATGTGTTTTATCCTATTTGGGGTTTAAAGTCTCTCACTAGCGTAATATGCATTCCACAACAATGATCTTGGGTACCAGACACAGCTCTGAAATAGGCGTATCAAATTTTGTCAAGATTGGTTCAGATTTCGATATAACTCCCATATATATCCTCCACCGAATTCGTGTTAATTGTACATCAATAGCCAATATCAGCCCAAATATCCTGCATTTTGGTATATCCGATCAAATTCAGTCTAGAAGCAAGTATATTAATTTTGGTGATTCGGTTTAGATATAGCTATAGCTCCCATACGTGTATTTCATATGATTTGGTGTTTAAATCCCTCACTTTCGTAATATGCACTCCAGAAGAATGATATTTGGTGCCGGACACCAGATACTGCTTTAAAATTATTCTGTCAAATTTTATTGAAATCGGTTCCCAGCTATATCCTACTCCCATACATATTTTTATCCGATATCAAATTTATTGCACACCAATATCAGTCCAAAAATCCTGAATTTGGGTACATCCGACCGAATTCAGTATAGAAGCAAGTGCATCGAATTCGGAGAAAGTCGGTTCAATTATAGCTATAGCCCCCAAATATATGTTTCATCCGATTTGGCGTTTAAGTCCCCTAAATTCGTAATATGCATTCGACAACAATGATATTTCGTACCAGATATCTTATAGAGCTCGGAAATACCTTCGCTAAATCCTATCGAGAACGGCTAAGATTTGGATATAGCTCCCATATATATCCTTAATCCGATTTCAGATTTATTATGCAAATAATGGCTAATTTCAACCCAAATGGAGTGAATTTCGGGACGTACGTTTCCATTTTGTGCATCTCGGCTCCGATATATATTTTCTTTATTTTTTAATATAATCCTTCACCTACTGATATCATACACTCTATAGCAAGCTATAACGGCTCTAAGCCAAATGTTGATAGGTGGTGTGACCTACTTGAAATAAATTTTTTTGTTACGGGAGCTCTACTAAATTTGAATAGTGGTGTAGGGTAACATATAGTCGGCCCCGCCCGACTTTTGACTTTTCCTTTCCTTTTTGAAATCGAAAAATGGATAAGGCAAATCGTTTATTTTATATTAAGGAACTGAATTTAGGATTGATTTTACACATTAAATAACAGATTCGTTATGTTAATGTTTAAACTAAAATACATAAGTTGACTTGCGTGACATGTGGTTTTAGCAAGACGGTACCACATGTACCATTTTCAACTTATGTATTTTAGTTTAAACATTAACATAACGAATTTGTTATTTAATGCGTAAAATAAATCCTAAATTCAGTTCCTTAATATAAAATAAACGATTTGCCTTACCCATTTTTCGATTTCAATAAGGAAAGGAAAAGTCAAAAGTCGGGCGGGCCGACTCTATGTTACCCCTATTCAAATTTAGTAGAGCTCCCGTAACAAAATAATTTATTTCAAGTAGGTCATGCCACCTATCAACATTTGGCTTTAGAGCAGTTATAGTTTGCTATAGAGTGTATGATATCAGTACGTGAAGGATTATATTAAAAAATAAAGAAAATATATATCGGAGCCGAGATGCACAAAATGGAAACGTACGTCCCGAAATTCACTCCATTTGGGTTGAAATTAGCCATTATTTGCATAATAAATCTGAAATCGGATTAAGGATATATATGGGAGCTATATCCAAATCTTAGCCGTTCTCGATAGAATTTAGCGAAGGTATTTCCGAGCTTTATAAGATATTTTGTACGAAATATCATTTTTGTCGAATGCATATTACGAATTTGAGGGACTTAAACGCCAAATCGGATGAAACATATATTTAGGGGCTATAGCTATATTTGAACCGAGTTTCTCCGAATTCGATGTACTTGGTTCTATACTGAACTCGGTCGGATGTACCCAAATTCAGGATTTTTGGACTGATATTGGCCATTTGGTGTGCAATAAATCTGATATCGGATAAAAATATGCATAGGAGCTATATCCTAATGGGAACCGATCTCAATAAATTTGACAGAATAGTTTTAAAGCAGTATCTGGTGTCCGGCACCAAATATCATTTTTCTGGAGTGCATATTACGAATGTGAGGGACTTAAACACCAAATCAGATGAATTACACACGTGGGAGCTATAGCTATATCTAAACCGAATCACCAAAATTAATGTACTTGCTTCTAGACTGAATTTGATCGGATATGCCAAAATGCAGGATATTTGGGCTGATATTGGCTATTTGATGTACAATTAACACGAATTCGGTGGAGGATATATATGGGAGTTATATAGAAATCTGAACCGATCTTGACAAAAGTTGATACACCTATTTCAGAGATGTATCTGGTATCCAAGATCATTGTTGTGGAATGCATATTGCGCTTGTGAGAGACTTTAAACCCCATATCGTATATGGGAGCTATAGCTATATCTGACCGATTTTCTCCAAATGTATTTACTTCCCTCTAGACTGAATTCGGTGGGATGTACCAAAATACAGGTCATTTGGGCTTATATTAGCCATTTGGTGCACAATTAACCGGAAATCGGTTAAAGATATATGGGAGCTATATGTAAATCTGATTCGATAATCACCAATTTCAATGGGGTTCGTCTTTGCGCCAAACAAATATTGTTTGCAAAATTTCATCTCAATCGGACAATAATGTGACTTGCATTTTGTCCACAAGAATCCATTGACGACCCAGAAAGTGATTCCATGAAGATCCTCAAAAGTAACTATGAGCCTATCTCGCTTCCTACTCCCTGTTGCAAACAAATGCACAAAGACATAATACCCTTATCACTATGTGGTGTAGGGTATGAAATAACAAAGGATAAACAACTTTTAAAGTTAAACGGTTTTATGTTAAACATACATTGCAATGTTTAAGATAACTTTACTAAAAACCAAAAAATAATAAAATAGATGCAATCGTGGGAATTATAAACATTGCATATACTAGACTAAAATAAAGCCGTGGGACACGTCAATTGTCTACACCGACCACGATGGACGTGTAATAAGTAGGGCTAGAATGTGGAAACAAGCTACCAAGCTTCATTATAAGCGATTTTTGGGTTTCATAGTGGTGAGAGAGTAGTACTTTTATCATATGTTTTAATCCGAGGTGGTGAATCCGGTTCGACAGGATCAAACGTTAGTGCGCCGTGCGAAAAATAAATAGAAATAAAACACGATCGTTTCAGTTTCTTGATTCAATTAATAGGAAGCTTTCTTTATTCATATTCCAATCAATAGGTGACGAGATTTGCCTTAATAATTACACACGCACGTGTAATGTTTACAATGTTGAGTACAGACACTCAACTCGATAACAAGAGCCGAATCACCAAGACAAACCCAAGTAAGGTGGTAGGTTTAGCGCCAATTCGTTGAAATCTGACATTGACATATCAATATTGCAATAATAAGTAGTAAGTAGATTTCAACGAATGTTCAATACGATAAGTGGTGCAACAAACTGCACCATGATTCCATTCCAAATAAATGGAGACAATTCTTGCTTAAGCATTTGCCGCCACCTTACCGCATCCTGGGATGGTGTAACAATATAAATTAATGCGATAAATAGTATAAAGTGGTGTTACAGTGCAGATATGTGAGTAGTTTCGAAAGTAAACGATAAACAAATTGATAGTTCAATGTCACGAAGAACCCACTGTTATGGATTTGGGCTTGATTACAAAGTATTTTTAGATTTTAACGACATCCGCAGTTACGGATTCAAGTTCGACGAAAGCCGCAGTAACGAATTTGCTACGAAAACGAGTATATTAAATCCGCAGTGACGGATTCGCTCCGAGAAACGGGTACACTTGTGGCCAATTTACAATACGAGATTTTTATATCGAAAAAAAGTTTTGTATATTTACTATGAAGAA